TTGGGTAAAAATATTTTTAATTACTGGTAATTAATTAATTAAGAGCTGCATTCTATCAATTTTAGTGGGACTTACTCCTAGTAAATTTATATAGGCCTTCAGCTTAAAATATATATTTTAAAAAATATATATATAAAACCCAGATATTGGTCCTGTCATCTTCACATCAGAGACCACTTTTCAGGCAAAAATTGAAATTTCAGTCATTTTGTTCTTATGGAATTAGACCACTGTTGCTGATTCAAGAAGTATAAGATTCTTCTTATCTTCTAAGATGACTTTTTTTTTTTTACATTTCACAGAATCAAATAATTGTAGAGCTGGAAGGGGTCCCAAGGGTCCCAAAGCCCAAACACCTGCTGGCCAGCTTGTTGAACCAGAGTATCCCTAATAAGTGGCCATTTAACCTCTGTTTAAAAATTTCCAATGAAGGAGAGTATACCGCTCTCAGAGTCAGTCCATTCCATTCTTGAACAACTCTTACTGTAAATAATTTCTCCCAAATGTTTAAGTGTAATCTCCTTTCTTTTAATGTTAATCCAGATCATACCACTGAAAGGCTTGCTCCATCTTCCATGTGACACCCCTTCAAAGTGTGAAAAATGTTTCTCATATTGCCTCTCAGTCTTCTCTTTTCCAAGCTAAACATAAGGCTTGATTTCCAGACTTCACCCATTTTGGTCACTCTTCTGTTCCAGTTTGTCAATATTCTTCTTAAATAGTGGTGCCTGGAACTGGACACAGTATTCCAAGCGAGATCTGACTAAAGCAGAATGCAGGGGTATATTCACCTGGATATTGTACGTCCGTTGATGCATCTTAATATTACATTTCCTTTTTTGCCACTGTGTCCCACTGCTGACTCATTTTTACCCTGTGCTCTATTAAGACCCTCTAGTCCTTTTCACATATACTACTGTGAAGGCAGTTGTCCCCATGTTATATTTAAATGCCTATTATTGACTGGCCACCAACTCTTCAACAAAATTCTCAGTTGACACTTATTTCTTGGAACATCGCGAGTTGGCAAGGCAAGCTCCTGGACCCCTCTTTTCAACACTTTATTAGGGGATATGATATAGTATGCCTCCAAGAGACTTGGGAGACAAAGACCTGGAACTAGATGGTTTTACAAATTATACACTGAAAGCCGAACCAGGTTCCAGGGAGGTAGAGCCAAAGGAGGCCTTGGGGTGTTAGTTTCTACTAAGCTTCGAGCCACCAAGATTAGCTTAGCCACATCACCCAATATGGCAATGTCTCTGGTTATTAAGCTTCGATGTTTTACCCTGTTGTTTATTAATGTGTATCTTCCTCCACTCCAGCACAAGCAACAAAATAAGGATAGGTGGGCAGACCTGCAAAATTTTATTAGTAGAATGACATCTTTACACCCCAAGGCATCTGTCATACTGACAGGAGACTCTAACACCAGAATTGGTCAACATGATGAAGCCCTTTACCACCATTTTGGTGCTCACAGTCCTGAAATGGAAATGGGACATCTGATCCCTATTAGACATTCCAAAGATCAGATTTGTAACTATTCCGGTCTATGTCTTTTACGGATGATAAATAGCTTGGATTTAGTGCTATTAAACGGAGGAGTGGAAGGGGATAGATCCAGGGAATATACCTTCCTGGGAGGGTGTGGTGCTTCAGTTATTGATTATCATTTCCTGTGACCTGTTAAATCTGGTACTCAGTTTTGAAGTTGGTACACGTACAGAGAGTGACCATTTCCCCCTGATGACAATACTATCTGGTCAGAGCCAGAATGTTTTCCCCCTGATTATAATACTATCTGGTCAGAGACAGAATGTTCATGCAGATTACGAACCGCAACTCAGCACAGAGGCAGAAATTGGAGTATCTCGGGCGAGATGGTCAGCCAAAGCAGAGTATGTTACAACTGCATTCCTGCATTCGGAAAGCTGTCTCAGAGTGTGGGAATACTTTTGGAAAACAAGTTCCCATGAAAAGGTTCTTAAACTATATCAAGAGATAGTCACAGCACTACAAGGATGTTTGATTCATAAAAAATCCATAAGACAGGATGCCCCTTTTTGTAGAACCCATAGATCCAAACCATGGTTCGATCAGGAATGTCTGGAAATGAAGTATCTACTATTAGAAACTTATAAGAGATATAGGGAATCAAACCTGCCATCCCTGCCACCTAATTGGTTTCAGTTAAAGAAAAATATATATATAAAAAGCTAATTAAGGACAAAAAGAATTTGGCAATGAAGATGAGTTGGCAGAAATTAATTGTAGCATCAAGGTTACATGACTCTGTTACCTTCTGGGAAATAGTCTCAAGAGGGTTAGATGTTCAAGCAGGTGGAGCAAATTCATACATACCTGTTAAGACCTAGGAACTATATTTTACTGATCTATATGCTGCAAAACAATCCAGACATTTGATTCCACAAACTGCTTCCCGTGAACTCCCTGACTGGCCCCCAGTTTCAATCTCTGAAATCTCCAGACTTATTGCTAAGCTTAAAGTAGGCAAAGCACCCGGGAGTGATAACACTCCTCCTGAGATTCTTAAAGCCAATATTAATTGGTGGGCCCCAGTATTAGCAACGCTATTTACATGCATCGACCAGCTTGCACGTATACCAGAGGACTGGGGACTTGCTATCATCATTCCAATTTATAAAAAAGGGAAAAGAGCTGACCCGCAAATTATAGGCCGATCAGTTTGCTAAGTGTTATCAGTAAACTGTATGCCCACCATCTTCTTGAGAAATTACATAGTTGGATGGAAGAGGAAAATCTTTTAGATGATGAGCAAGCAGGATTCAGATCAGGACGCTCCACAGGAGATCATGGTATAGTTTTACAATATCTAGTGGATAAATATTCATTTAAAACCAAAGGAGCACTATATACAGCCTTTATTGATTTCAAATCCGCATTTGATATGATTCCACGACACAGGCTTTGGCAGAAGTTGGAGACAACCAATATTGATAGGCGGCTCCTGCTCCTGAT